AGGGGAGGGGATTTTTGTTCTTGTAGTTAGAGATCATGCATGCAGATGTTCCTGGCTCAGCCAGTGACTGCCTCTGCCACACATTGTAGTAGTCACATGCGGACACAGCAAGCTGCAGACTTCTCTCCAGGAGCTGAGAGGTGGAAGGAGATCTCCAGGATCTGTACAGCGATTTCCCAGGGGCTCAGAGGAACATCCTTTTTTAATTTTCTTTTCTTTTTTTTTCCCCCTCCTCTTTTTTTTGTGGTTGGGGTAGTGGAAATCTATTTCCAGAACAGGGAAGGTGGTTCTTCTTTAGCTGCTCCACATAAGTGGAACCTCTGCTGGATCTGACAAGTGGCAAGTCCTGGTCTAGGGAGTATCTACCCATGGTTTGAGGACACACAGGGTTCTAGAACTCCCAGGAATACTAAGTTGCAAACAAACCTTGAAGTTCTATATTGAGGGATCGGGACCTGAAACTCCACCTTCCCCTCTGGAGCTAAGGAAACCTCTGGTGTCCTACCAAGGAGGTCCTCACCAAGGGTACGGGTTGAGGAGGTAAAAGTTGGGGTAAAGTGGGTATTGGTACATCCTCTCTCTGGGAGGTTCACGACTGATCGGGAAGACGACGAAGGGAGAAGGAAAGGCAGCAGGAGCCCCTGCCGGGATTATGGGCACTTTGAGGGACTTGCAGTATGCTCTGCAGGAGAAGATCGAGGAACTGAGGCAGAGGGATGCTCTCATAGATGAGCTGGAGCTAGAATTGGACCAGAAGGACGAGCTGATCCAGAGATTGCAGAATGAGCTGGATAAGTATCGCTCTGTGATCAAACCAGCTACCCAACAGGTCCACAAACAGACCACCAACACCTTGGGGGAACAGAGGACCAAGAGGCAGGCTATATCAGCCGAGCCAACTGCTTTTGACATCCAAGATCTCAGCCATGTCACACTTCCTTTCTACCCCAAGAGCCCACAGTAAGCAGCTGGGTTTTAGCCTTATGTCCATCCTGTCTGTGCTAGTGCAGTGCTCTCTGTATTGTCTATGTCTATCCACCTGTGTCTATAGACGGTTCTTCTGCACCTTCCGCTTTCCATTTCTGTTCTCATCTTCAGAAATTATGTCTAACTAACACTGTTCCTCTCTGGGCTATAATGCACATTTCTACCCTTTTTTTATTTATTTTTTACACAATTCACAAAAAAAAAAAAAAAAAATCCCACGGTAACTACTCCCATCTGTGTGTTGTTGTCCGATGTCAAGGTATGTGATTTTATATAGACTTTTTTTTACCTTATGTGAATATATGCAAATTAATGTCACACATTGTTGCATTTGCAGCTAGTTCACTGCAACTTCAGTTGGGTGAGATTCCCTACTCCCCCACCCCCATTCCCTAGATTTCAATACACTTGGTACCTTTAATGTTATAGATACCTTAATTTTTTTTTATCACTAGATCCCAACCCCCCACACCACAACTACTGCTCACTTGCCACTCAACAATTGTTATGCAAAAGATATTGCAAGGCAGGCAGTGCTCTAACCCTTTGATTGTGAAAAGGGTAAATAAGAATGTGTATTGAATTCTATCATTTAAAAAAAGGGATTTTACGACGCTCATATTAATATTCCAACCATGTGTGCCCAGTATGATGGGTAGTGATTTACTATGTGGGCTTTTGTTTAAAGCTATTGGTGAAATATATATATATATATATATATATAAATTTTTTTTTTTTTTTTTCAACAAAAGCCTGATAATTTACTGATCCACATTTTGATACACAACTCAGAATTGTTTTGACATCTACAGCTTCACAATGACAGTCTCCCCCTTGAGCCGCCTGAGGTTTTTAGGTTAAAGCCAGGGCACTAAAGATGTGTTGGCTAATCTTACTGCAGCTAGTGTGAATCAGAGAAGCAGAAAATTGAAATCTGTGGTAGGTGGTGATTGTTAGGTAGTCACCGCACCGAATAAAGGTAATTAGAATTCAGTCAGTGACTAGTGGTTATGGGCTGGTTAGCAAACCCACAAACCACAGGTCCAGGTGACACATCACCCATTGTACAGCACTGCAGAATTTGTTGGTGCTTTATAAATAATAATAATAATCAATGACTTGTTTCCAGAGAAAAATACAATGGCAGATTGGCTACAAGAAAGTTCAGGATTGCTTCGCCGACTTTTAACGATTTAGAGTCAAGTCAATTAGTTAGTCAAATCCGCTTTAATGAAGGGGTTAAAATCGTAATCCCTCTTCTTGTAGCTTTCAGATGTGTAAAAATACCATGTTAATTTATTTTCCACACCAAAGTTACTTAAGAAGATCTCCCCACTGAGTCTCATGTGCAAGCTCATTATACATATCTAAATGATTCTAGGAATTCTGAAACATCAAAGATCATTTGCACACCCATTATATCCCCCATCGGTTTGATTTTCTGATATATTTATCAAGAGAAGGCCTGAGGATTCCAAACTTAATATAGTTAACGGAGATAAAAGGTCTCCAAAACACAGGGGGTATAAGTGTCTTTGTTGATATATATATTCTAATTAGAAAAGATCAAAGACTATGGTGGGTTTTAATTGTATACCATACATGCTTGTCAACCATAAGGATTAGTTATTGCCATCTCTAAAAATTTTACAGTAAAAGA